CAGATGGCTGCCTCGGTTCTGTACCGGAAACAAATTCCTTGTGTGTAACATACTTGGCCAATAGAGGTGATTATCCTTATCCTCACCTTTTCTCTGACTTGTGGGCGTACGGCCCTCAGCTTTGCCCCATTCGAACCATAATATTCAATATATTATTCTTCTGAAAAACATAAAACCATCATTGTTCACGTAACAGTTCTGTTCAGTTTATATGTTCTCCATGTTCACTGCGTTTTCGTTAAAAAAACAAAACCCACGTTCGAATATCTGCGTTGTGCATAGTTCAGTTAGTGAGTGAGCCTATCACCGCAACGATTATTGGAAACCTACACGTCTGTGTGCACAGCCAGCCAATCACATGCTTTGGTCAGGGTGACTGACAGATATTTTAGCCAATGAAATTACGGCCATACAGAGTTACATGGGTTTGGTCCCTCAGAACACACACGGTGTTTCTGAAGTCTCCTATAAGCACCTTCGTTTCCTTCACTTGTGTCTTAGTCTGGCCCACGTAAGATGCAAGGAAACCACGAAGAGTTGAGGAAAATGTTATTAATCAAAAGAGGCGTCCCTTCCTCTTCATCTGAAGCATCCAATCAGCAGCTGATTTCTGATAAAGGGGCATGTCAGTCCATAAAATAAGTCCATGAAGGTTTCTCTCATGTGTCCTCGCTCATTGCTCCTCCTGCAGCTCCTCGCTGCTCAGCTATATGCTCCGTTATAAGAGACTTGGAATGTGGCTCACATTTCAGTTACATCTGTGCATATGTGGCACTTTAGGGGCTCAGCGGTGTTCACACCGGAGCCGGGTACATGGCCCTGAGACACATGAACGGAAAGTAGCGACAGAACAAGGTCAGAGCTGAGCGTTCAGGCTGGGATGTGGACGCAGCCTGACTGAGCAGAACAAACCGTGTCCTCATGCAGTAGGGCCTTAGCTTTGTGCAGCAGTGCAGCTGATTTTGTTCAGTGACGTTTGTTGAATCTGCAGCTTGAGTCGTCTGCAAAAGCACGTTAACAAAATGGACTGAGTGTGAGCTGCCGCGTCCTCTGAGAGCCTGTAACTCACCTGATGAATCATTTGCCAGCCTGCAGTCTGTGTGGACGTGTTGGTGGCAGCTCCGTTCAGACTCTTCTGAGTTGGTTTGGCTTCAGTTTCTAAATTTAACATTTTCCCCCCCGGCTTGTTTTATTTTATTCTCTGTGTGGACATGAAACATTATTGATCGCTGAAGAGAAACCGGGTCACTGCAGCAGAAAATTACACAGCTGGGAAACAGGCAGCCAATCAGGAAACAGAAACCGTTTCTGAAGAACAGCTGCATCGGCACCGCAATGAAATACAGATGCAAAAAAAGGAAGAACAGTATTAAATGTTTGTAAAAGCAAAAATGCAAAGTATATATGAGATTTAAAAATGTAAATGAGCTGATACGAATTTAAATATTAAAGTACCTGAAGTTTAAACAAATATTAAACCTTTAATTCAAATGTGCAACAACTGAATATATAGAACGTAGAAACAGGTCAACGTGTAAAATGTTCAGTAATGTATATATGAATTAAAATATTTCAAATCCCGTAGATTAAATTCTAACAAAATATTAATTGTTTGACATAAAGAATATTAAAATATATCACATTTTAAAATGCATTAAATCATATAAATAACAGCCTAAATGTTGACAATCAATTAAAATATAAAATCTGCAGTACTAAAATACATTAAATATAACCATTTTAAACATATAAGAAATTCAAAAACAAACAACCTTCACACATTAAATATTAAAATACGTAAAATTGTGAAAACATTGAATATAAAACGAGTTGCACAGAGTAGGATACACCCACACTACACAGTTCCAGACACACAACTCAAGAACTTAACTTAACAATCCCTTTGTCTCCTCATGATAAACATAGAAATAATAAATAAAAAGCAGATGTGAACAGCTGTGCAGTATAGTGCATATATCACATCCAGGACACACGTCCAGTTCAGAATGAGTTACAGTAGATAAATATAAAATGCTGACATGTTTTACATTTAACTTGAGGTCGTCTGTGTCGTTTTTGCTTGTGAACGTGATAAACAGGTAAAAATGTGAATTTTCTTGCCCAGCTTAGATTCAGCTCTGTGAATCCTCCATGATGGACAGCTCCACAGAGAGCAGGGGGTGGGCTGAAACTCCCATCCCTGCCCTCTGATTGGCTGCTGCAGCTGAGAGAAAATGCGCATTGAGATAGTGACTGAGAGCGAGAGAGGAGGGGAGTGTGAGCAACAGTTCGGAGTGTGGCAGAGAGAAGCGGGAGGAGAGGAATAAACGAAGAGGAGGAGGAGCTCAGCTGACAGAGGAGTTCTCCTGCAGGAGGAAGACGACAGCAAGCCACAGAGCAGCAGAAGAAAGTGGAGGACGAAGATGTGATGAGGAGGAAGGAGGGATTCTTTCTTTTCTGTTCATCAGGACAAACTCTCCACTCTTTCACCTCCACCTCCATCCCTCCATCATCCCTCCCTGAGCAGTAGGGGCTGGAGGAAGCTGACGTCAATTTTGGGGTGCTCTCTCTCTCTCTCTGTATGTGTGGGCGTGCTTGCTCGCCCCTGCCTCCCTGCTTTTCTCCTCGTTTTGCGTCTGCTGGATGTTTTGGGATGTGAGAGCGAGCTGCTAGCGCCGCTGAAGCATCTCCTCCATCACATAGCTTTATTTGCAGACCGGGGATTCTCCTCCAGCGGCACCACCTCTGCTGCTGCATCAGGAGCTTCAACAGCAAACTGACTGACATTCTGGAAAATCAGCAGCAGAAGAAGATCCAACTTGTGGTCTGGGGGTTGAGCGGACTAACTGTGGATGGGTTCGACCGTGACACGCGTTTGCGCCAACACTCAGCCCATGTTCGTTAATTTGCTGTAATATAAAATCTGACATCTCCACGTTTCTGTTTTTGTGGCAGATTGGAACTTGGCCTGAGACATTAGGTTTTATAATTAATAATAATTTCTGTAGGTCATTTCTCTGTTCCTTCTTCTCTTCATTTTAAATCTTGTTACCATTTCTTCTTCTTTTGTAGAGTGATTATTGATACCTGTAAGAAAAACAGTGAACACTTATTTTTAAACCCTAATTTGAACAATATTTTATGTATAAATGCATAAATAAATTGCTCTCAATGTAGAGATTGTCTTTTGAGGGACAGTACGTAATAAATCTTAATTTAAACCACAGGCGGTGTTAATGTGCATGAAGGTGCCTAAATAGGAGCTTTTTCAACAAAAACCAATTCACACTAATATAAAGTCAGATAGTTTTTATTGCCCAGTAAAATTCTGTTTATTCTAAAACTTATTTTTGTGACAAATTTGAACTCTGACTTAATTTGCTTCTTTTCCCTGTTTCATTTCTTTGTAAATCCAATTTTATAAAAGTTGTTCATCGTAAGATAAAATGGTTTTATTTTGTAGCGTGATTAACCGACTAATACCAGATAAATAATGAAAACGATTGTTATTTACACCTAACTGTAACTGTATTTTGCTCCCAAACCCCAGAACTAGACGTACGGCTGTAAGGATCTTTATATTTTATCAACATGCTGAATGTTTTTAAAGGGGCTGAAACCAAACGTCCTGCAGCAGTTTAGTCTAAACACGTTGAATTGTAGGTGAATCGTGCAGCAGAGTCTGTCCACAGCGTCCAAGCAGCGTCTCTCTATCTGTGCCGTTCCGCCTCCACATACCTGAGCGGCCTGCAGGATGATGAGCTGCTGAGCCCTGATGTACAGTGGATAGAGCCGGCGCCGTAGTGGTGCGGCCTGAGCGCCACTGAGGACGCCGCCGCTCCAGTCCAGGTTCTGCTTCATCATCAGCCTCACGTTTCCTGCTGGGGTTCATGGTGTCAATGTGCTGAAAACCCATGTTGTCAAGGGGAGTTTTGTCTGTTCACGTGAAGCTGATACTTTGTAGAACTCTGGACTAAACGGACGAACTAAGCATCGGGTTGGAGTTTCTGCCACACTCTCCTGAAAGACTTATTATTGTGCTGAAATAAGGCAAAGGTGCTGGATGTGGACCACGGTGGACCACAAAGAGTTGGTTGTTGTGTCGTGTGGACCACCAGCTGTTGAGGGTTTTCTCCATCCCTGAATCACCTGTTTTTACCTTGAAGGCTCTTAAACACAAACTAAATCCTCCTTTGGACTCTGAACTTGTCACGATGATCGGCGTCAACAGCATCCACTCGACAGGCCGAATGCGATCTCGGTCGCTCTGCTCAGTCCGGAGCGGGCGGGATTCAAGGGACTCCGACCCATTCAGGTATCCCAGAACCCCCCGCTCCCGCTCCCTCAAACCGCTGGCCTTTCCAGACCTGCTGGGAAAAACCCAGGATGGGCAGCAGCACCCGCAGAGCCGCAAGAAGAAGGTAGAGCCCGGGAACACACACGCTGGGTTTCAGGTTTAAGTCAGCCACACTTCACAGGCATCCATTTTTATTTAGGGTTTACTTTTGGACCACAAGACGAAACTAGACCAGCACATACTGCATATCCAAATATACAGTCAGGGAAAATATTATTTGAACCCCAGCTGATTTTGTAAGTTTGCCCACTAACAAAGAAATGGTTTTGCACATATCTTGGGGGATTTTGACCCACTCCTCTTTGCAGATCCTCCCCAAGTCATTAATGTTTTGTGGCTGATGTTTGGCAACTCAAACCTTCAGCTCCCTCCACAGATTTTCTATGGGATTAAGGTCTGGAGACTGACCCATCCATCCTCCCTTTGATGCGGTGCAATTGTCCTGTCCCCTTGGCAGAAAAACAACCCCAAAGCATAATGTTTCCACCTCCATATTTGACGGTGGGGACGGTGTTTTTGGAGTCGTAGGCAGCATTCCTCCTCCTCCAAACATGGCGAGTTGAGGTGATGCCAAAGAGCTCGATTGTCTTATCTGACCACAACCCTTTCACCCAGTCAGCTCTTTCTTTACCTGGAGACCTGGATGACCAGTGTTTTAGACTGGGAAAAGGACCTTAAAACAGGTGGATCCTGGTTTGTTTTTTTAAGCTTGTGTTTTGCTGCTCTTCGGCTATTTTCAGGTTTGTGGGTCGTTTCAAATCTCGCAAGGAGCGGGAGGCTGAGCTAGGTGCAAAAGCCAAGGAGTTTACCAATGTCTACATCAAGAACTTTGGGGATGATATGGATGACGATCGACTGAAGGAGCTTTTTGACAAATATGGTAAAACAGGACCAGATTCATGTATATTACTTGAAGTCCTGATGTGGTCTAGCTCTGCTGTCTCGCATCCACTTACCTGACCTTTAATCTTTGCAGGTAAAACACTCAGTGTAAAAGTAATGACAGACCCCACTGGCAAATCCAGGGGCTTTGGATTTGTTAGTTATGAAAAGCATGAGGACGCTAACAAGGTACTTGAAGATGTGGAAATATGTTAAATATATCTTTACGCGTTAGAAATTTCCTCTGATATTTCTGGCTTCATCCAAAGGCTGTAGAGGACATGAATGGCACTGAACTCAATGGTAAGACTGTGTTTGTGGGCCGGGCTCAGAAGAAGATGGCTTTCCTCACTGTATAATGTTTTGTGTCTGATTTCGGCCACGTTGTCTTCACTTCGGCTCATTTTGTCGTTATTGTATATTTTTGTAGTTGCTGTCTCTGAAGTCTTTTCTGTCTCGTCTGTTTCTTTGTACTTGTTTTGAATCTGTATTTTCTTGTTTTGGGGCTTCTGAATTTCCAACAGAGCTTAAAAGTCCCTTCACAGTTCTCTGGCCTGAGGCCCCCCGAGGCCCCCCGAGGCCCCTGGCCTGTGTCCAGTGAGGCTGTTCACTAATCCATTCATGTCATTTCATCCTGGAAAGCACAGGAAAAAAAACCTTCTTCAAAAATGATTATTGTTTAAAATCTATAGTTTAGTCGAGCACCAAACCTGGTCGTGTACCTCGCAGGGTTTTCGTAGGGGGTGGTGGTGATTTCCAAAAAAGGAAACACCGCTTATTTCTTTATCAAGCTGCAGTCGGTAAAACGTACCACCCTCTGCACAGATGTTTCACATTTAAAGCCTCGACAGTATAATGTTTCCCATTTCTCTGGGGTGAGACTTTTATTTTGACACATCTGCAGGATGTTTATTAACCAGCGACCGAAAAAAACTGCTAAGTGGATTTCTGTTAAAAAGAGACGCTGAGAGCAGCTCTCTTCATTAACTACTCCATATTTACATTTTTATACAGAGCCTTATTTTATTGTTGGCTTTGGTTCCAGATTTTATGGTGTAAACGTAAAAGTGATTTTTCAGTTTAATATTTTTGGTTTCACCACAAAGGTTTTCATTTGTTGATAATTTCAATCACTTCTGGTCTACTCTTTTGTTTTTGTCCCTGTTGATAAAGCCAACCTCTTATTGTGAAAAGGGAGTGGAGCTCGGTGACTTATTTTGTGTGTCATCCGTTGTGTATCATCTCAACTGGGTAATTTTCTGTCATCCGATCAGATTCTTCTTCATTGTTTCTGGCCGTGATTTCTTCAGCAGCACTACTGTGTTCATTCACCGTTTATGTCCCAGTGATTCTGCTGTGACGTGACCCTCAGATAAACAGACACACACAGCATTGTCTACCTAACACACATTTCTCTTTGTGTGTCTGCAGACTCTCTACAGCTCCATCAAGAACGAGAAGCTTCAGTGGACCATGTGAGTCCTCTCCTCCGGTTTCTAGTGGTTTAACACTCGGCATGGACGAACATCTGAAGTGTGTGTTTGATGCCGTTTGCAGTGTGTGTGTTTGTACTGTGTGTTAGTGTGTGTCCTTGCTGCCTCTGTTTCCATGGTAACATTCCCTGCTTCTTCTTCTGTGACTGTAATTACAGGTCAGCATCCCAACGCCCATGCTTGACTGTGGACATACACTTGTGCAGGCGTTTAGCATCTGTCCTCCCTCATGTTCAGCCTCTTGGTTTTTTTTAACTCCTCAGCTCTTCTTCTGTTCCACAGCCATCTCATTTCCGCACTTTAGTCTTGTCATTTCAAACTCTTTCTCCTCTTCATCTTATTTTCTCTCGGACTGCTGGATCAAACCAAACTCAGCTCAGAGCCCAGGCCCAGCCTGAATCTAGATTGGGATTCTGGATCCATTTTCTCTCATTTTGATGAAAACCAACAAGATGTGTAGCATTTAGACACTTTGTCCCCCATCTCCAGCTGGTAGTGAGTGATTGAAGAAGAAACACAGGAACACACACTTGAGATGCTCCTACATGCTGAGTGATACACAAGTAGAGACCAGTAATAATAAGACAATAACACCAACTCGGGTTTAAAAGGACAAAACAGCTGTAGCCAATGAGCTAGTTCTTCTATAAGTGGAGGGAAAGCCATGTGCACAGTTTCACTGATTCCTCTTGTCTTCCTCTGAAGCGACGAGGAGGAGCTGACGAAGTCCGAGTTGGAGGTGGCTGACGTCCGAACACACTCAGCCACCCACACCACGAAACGGTTTGGCAGCGGAGGAAACCCGCTGGTGGGCGTCGCCCAGCAGACCGACTGCGAGCTCTACAAGAGTGGCTTCCTGGTCCGCAAAGTCCATGCCGACCCCGATGGAAAGAGAAGTACGTGTCTCAGAGATTCTTCTTCTTCTTTTGTAATTCAATATTTATAGATTTTTTTTTTTTTTTAACATAATAGAACAACACAAGAACTGATAAAACGTGAAGTGAACTGTACCCACCTCCCGCCCCACCTTCTGTGTGGATGTAAATGGTAAATGAGAAAGAGCTCGGTCAAGAGGGTCCATGAGACTGCAGTGAAAAGTCTCTTACTGAGCTTAGAATGTCCACCTCAGCGGTTTCAGGCCAGCAGCCGAAACCTCCTGATATAGAACCTTATACCGTGCCTGTGCCAAAAGAATCCAGGACTGAGCTAGTCCGGCTAGCTGTACTTGAACAGTCACTTTGGGAAGTTAAAGTTCAGAAGAGCTGGGTCCATCAGGAAGTTCACCTTTGTCAACGTAGAGGTAGTTTGTATTGTTCCCTGTCAAAAGCATTGTACCTTTGGATGGTCTCCTACAGTACCACGTGTACCAAGGTGCCCAGTGTGCTCGGAGAACAAAGTCTACAGTCTGGGCTGGGGCTCGAAGCCATCTGGTATCTGCTGGGGTGCCACATACCCCCTGTGGCAGAACTTAAAAAGAATAAATGGGTGATAGAGTCACATGAGGCTGGTCTGCGATTTGACCAAGCCTTGTCCCAGTTTATCTTCCTGTCAAGGCTGGCCACAGCCCTTTCCCACTCGTGGATCCCTGTGATTGACCCCTTGGAGTACGATACGGGATTGTTGTACATCAAAGATGCAGTGTGTTTTTGTGCTGGCCAAGTCCATATGACCAGCAGGTGGTTGAGAGGTTTAGTGCCCCCACTGGACTTTAGGGTACTTAAGGCAGATCTGAGTCTGAAATACATGAACAGTGTGTGTTTATCAGTGCCAAACCTTGCAGACAGTTTTCAGGTGTCCATCCCGTTGAGGTCACCCAGGACCCTAATTCCTTTCTCCGCCCAGTCGCCCCGGATAAAGAGTTTACCGCCTGAGGCTAAATTGAAATTTCTCCAAATTGGGGAGGGCCCGTGTGTGGGTTTTCCATTATATATGAGACAGGTGCTGTTGTTGCAGTATTACTTCTGGTAGCAGGCTGCTGTGATGAGCCCTTCCCCAGTTCTCTGCTACTAGACTGTGGTTTGGATCAACTGAGAAAACAAAGAGACGCTGTCACGCTGTCATTTAAGTCCCTTTTAAGCAACTCTCCAAAAAGACATGACATATTAATCTGAACAGATTAGTGCAAAGCTCGGCGTCTCCTGGACCACAAACTCCACCTTCTCTAACAGAGTGTAACTGTTCAATATGTTTAGTAGAGATGGATAATATCCCATGATGCCTTGTGTCTCACAGCACCGCGGGGTAAGAGGGGGTGGAAGTCTTTCTACGCCATGCTGAAGGGTCTGGTGCTCTACCTGCAGAAGGTAAACCCTCTGAACTCTGTTTCCCAGCAGCCCTGCCGTTTCCTTCTCTGTTTTTGACTGTGTGACCTACATCAGGCACAACTGATCTGGTTGCATCCGAATGTTTTTTTGTCGTTCTCCTGTAAAATCTGACTCAGTTCTGCAGCCGTGTGTGTGATTTTACATCCTGCAGATTCACTGATGTGCACGTCTTCCTGATGGCACCGGCAGAAGAACTTTTTAAAGGCCTCATGTTCATTTCTACTTTGAATACTCACAGATACTGTATTTTTTTAGGAACACGTTGATGCTTTGAGACAAATTCCAGGCACAGAATGGCTGCATATTGATCGAGTTATCGATTTATTATGAAAAGTGTTTCACAGCGTTGTCGCCATGACAAACTGACCGCTCAGGTTTTAATGACGTCCTTTCCATCTGAAAACATGTTTTTATGTTGTATTAACATATTTATTCATTTTAGTAGTTCCATTTTAACAAGAGCCTTTTCTTGTTATAACAATATATCACTTTATTTTGTAAAATAAAAAGATTAAACCAGTAAACTTCATCATTATAACGACATCTTTTTAAAACAGGAAACTCTTCTTGTTGTTTCAAAAACCAAAGAATCAGTGATGGATTCACACAGTTCGGTTTTGTCTAACAGCGTTTTGAGATAGAACAGCTGAAGTGATGTTATAACAACGAAAGATTTAGATTGTAAACTAAAACCTTTGCACATTGTAGTCATGAGAAAAGAGTCTCTGTCTGGATGCTGTAATGGTGCAACACGCTTTACATATACATCCACATGTTTCAGTAGAGATGTGATCGACCGGAACACGTGGATGGTCAGAAATCACTGATCATAAACCTGTCGTGATCTGGCAGGACGAGTACCGGTCGGAGCGTGAGCTGACGGAGGAGGACGTAAAGAACGCTGTGTCCGTCCATCACTCACTGGCCATGAGAGCGGCCGATTACAGCAAGAGGCCCAACGTCTTCTACCTGAGGACGGCCGACTGGAGAGTCTTCCTCTTCCAGGCGCCGTAAGACCCCCGCCCCTCATACCTGTTTTAGTCTGTACATCCACAGCAGGGCAGGGCGCAGTCAATCTGCTGCACATCAGGGATTGCTGAGGCTCTGTTTGTCGACACAACCTGCATCAGCATGTCTCATGCTTCCCACTGATCAGTGTGTTTGTGTCCATGGAGGGTAAACCTGCCCAGCACAGGAGGAAACACTGGATCACAGAGCAGACAGGCCTGACTCTGAGCAGGAGCAATGGAATCAGTTAGCCTAACATGAGCAGGTGTGGCAGGTTGGATGCAGGCAGAGGATTAACCGCCACCATCCTGGCTCCTCATATAGATGGCTGCCCCATGAGCAGAGCCAGTTGCCTGCAGGAGCTGGAGACTGAAGCTCCAGCCACCTCCTCCACATGGCACACACCTGTCTGCATGCACGCACACACCTGTCACCCCTCAGGCTGAGCATCA